CGGATTGCCCCGCTTGTGGACTGTTAGCCACATTCAATCATGTGTTGTGGGAATGTGAAGCCATCGGCCCCGCCCTCAGCGAGGACAGGTGGGCTGCGCTCTTACGCAGCCCCGAACTTAAGGATCAAACCCTGGCCGTCCAGAGTGTCCCGTGAACGGGCCGCCAAGCTCGGCTTGACGGTCCCAACGTGGGATTAGCCGGGCGGCGCGGGGTCTCCCCTGCGTCTTCTCAGGACAAAAATAAAGTTTTAATCAATCAATCAATCAATAGTGCTTACCGGACGTCTCAGCTCGCTGCAAAACTCGATGCATGTTTGGCCTATGCGAAATCGGCATGATGCCAGGAAAGGCAATGCACTCTTGTGTTTCGTCTGTGAGTTCGTGACTGTCGTATCTTCGTTATTTGTTTGCCTCCAAGAGAACTCTCGTTAAGAATTCGAAAACAGCAAGGCAAACTCCCTGGTGCTGCCTGCATGCCTGACTGATAAAGCGGGGGCTGGGGTTGTTTGCACGTATGCCCTCCGAGAGACAACCTTTGGTACATCTCTTTTGTGTACGTGTTAAAATTCGCGAGTGCTCCGCACAAAGGGTTGGTTAAAGCTGCAGGGGTTTTTTTATATATATATATACGCGCTGGAGCAATATTCATAAGCACACCGTATTCCGGAACTTTGATTCGATTAGGGTTCCGATTCCCAGTCACGGTGGCCAGGAGTCAAACCTGCAGGCATCTTCTATTTAAGCAACAGAACGCCTTTGCCTCTAATATTCCACGGCTGGTCAAAGAATGAGACACTATTACATGATACACAAACCACCTTAGTGTAATGTGACATCATAAATTGGTATATGCGTCTGAAAGGACCGCACTGGAACGGTGGCTTATATCGAGAAAGGAGGATGCACCATATCCGCAGCTTTGCGGGTGCACGGCTCAGCGTTTGAAGATATCCTTTCTTGCTTGTATAGACACTCGAATATGCTGTCGGCCCAGCAGTGCAGGACTAGTCAGGACGAGGTCATTGCGATACACTTTCGTCCTGCTTCCTTTCTTTTGAAAGACAAGTATCCACCGAAAACGTTCATCACACTCTGATACTGGCGCCGCTTCGAAGCATCATGTCACGCATTCGGACGTGCAGCCTCTTGACGTCACTTTTTGAGCTCCACAAACAAGTATGCATGCCTTCACAATCGCCGGGTCCTTTTGTCCCTTGGCGCTGGCTCCTGCATGGACACGAGTGCCCTTCGGACTCACAAACTGTTTAAAACAATAGCAACCTTGCACTTGGCACTGCGGCTTGGGTGCGTCGTATCTCCCGAGACGCTGCTTTGTCGCCATGGTATATCTGTATCTCGGTGTGCACTATAGTATGCCTCAGTGCACTCCTGTATTTTAACCCTGAATGTTTTGAGGGCGAAATCAGTGCGCGCCACGGTGAAGATAGGGTGACCTCTGCACGGCGATACCGCAGTTGTTAAGTTCTCACCGACCGCGTCTCTGTATCGGCTCATTTCCTCGGTATGTACGTGTCATTTGATAAAGGCCCCTGGCCCGAGTGAGTCAACCTCACTGGTTAAAAGGTTGAGCCTATAAGAGCGTCCTGGTCAGTTGCTACCCGCCTCCTGCGAGCTTGCCCACGGGCCTTCCTCAGTGGTATATACGTCAACAGGTCGCACGGCTCCTTACACTCGTCGAACGCCCAGGAGAGACAGATGCCATGACTGCCGGTCGCGCATGTTCCCCCAGCAGCGTCGGAGGTAATCGCACGACTCTTTTCTTTTCCAAATTCTTCGCGCTACATGTCGTTCCGAGCAAATGCGTTACTCGAGGTCCTCTTTTATGTCCACCCGCGTGAACGTATTATAGAAAGCTGAGCGGGTTGATCAAAATGCATTATGGAAAGTTTTCCAGCACTAACAATACAACCAAGCACTTGTATTGTCTTCTTTTCTAGCGTCCTTTAATGTTGTGTGCGCACTGAAAAAAAAAAAAAGTTTCCGTAATGTTTGTTACCCAGTTTACGTTGCTGGGCTATAGTAGTCTAACCGATGTCTTTCTCTCATTCGTTGTTATTTAGGCATGTGGGTGGTACCATCACAGAAGAGAAAGCCTCTGCTGTCTTGATGCGTCTTAAGTAGTTTAGGCCGAATCCCCGAATATGCCCCAACTATGTACGTTCTAAAGCGAGAGCCGTTTTTGGAGCATTTATTGACTAAGCCCTAATGATTCTGTTGTTTTGCGGGTCCAAAACAACGATGTGATTATGAGGCACGCCTGTAGTCATGGTCCGAGGTTTCTTTTTTTTTTCTTTAACACATATAGGCACACAAGTGTTCTTCGCATTTCGCCCCCGCCGAAATACGGCCACTGGGGCTGGGAGGCGAACTTGCGCCTTCAAGCTTACGAGCTGCGTGACACGTCCTGTACGTATACTATATATCGTGGTATATATGTCTTCTCCTTTGTGACCAATTTTTTTCGGCCGAACAATCTTCCTGGTATACAGCGTTACAATATATTGTGCCAACAAACCCACCACGGCTGCCTACTCAAAACTAAAGGTTGTAAAATGAAGAAGAAGAAAGGAGGGGGGAGGGGGCGGCTTCCACTTTAGATGAAAGAAACGCCCTCCCCCCGCCTCTTCAAAAAACTATTGAATCTAACTGGGGGGGAGGGGGGACTCGCGGAGCATTTAGTATACCGCTTGTCTTAAAGTAAGTTTAATTTTTGTTTGACCGTCTCCTTTCAGCGGGAGCCTTTGTGGAGTGCATGTTGTTGCATACGCTCATGTCGCATCCTGCAATTCCGATTATCTGCACTTCCTTCAAGCGGTTGCTTAGCAATCTTCGTTTTTTTATATATATGTGTGGCTCGTGCATCTCAGGACGACCTCTTCTTGTCTCGGCGCTCTCGCTGGTATGATAGCGCGGAGCAGTCGAAGGATGTCGGAGGCAAGTTTGGGGTATTCCGGCGGCTCTGTGTATTGACGGCTGCTGATCTTCGTACACACACGCATCGCAGCCTTCTCGTACACATAAGGCGCCAGAGGCACGTGATTCACACCCGCCGATAGGTGGCATGTGAGATTGACTATAGCGGGAAGCGCCGGCGGCCGACCTTCCTGTGGCGCGGAAATCCCCGCACGTCTTCATCGTTGCCAAGCTTGCGAATGCATGCGTAGTGAAGAGTCACCCCCGTCCTGCCAACTAAGTGGTGCTCGTTTCCTTTGTTCCTTCTTTGTTATCTCTGGTTCTATACGTACAGTGTTTCCCTGAAACTACCGATACATTTCCATGTGGAAGAGCTTTTGACTGTGTATTTTGTGTTTGAGCGCCGCCTGTCGGTTTCGATTTGATCATTGGTGTAAGTAAGTAAGTAAGTAGGTGCTCCTAATCCCTTTTGGCACAGGGCAGGCGCCAGCAGCGCCACAGGACAAAGTTGTGCGCTTCAACGCACATCCATACACACGCACACACACATCACCAGTCAGGCGCTTGCCGCGCCACCGTCAAAAAAAAAAAAAACATTTTGTGTTTTACACGCACTTCACGCGAACACGCACTCACACGTTTTCCACTTTACTGTTCGAAGAAAGAAAGGTCTGGTAGTAAATTGCCCGTTTCGCCACCAGGGGAAACGTGCCCTCGGCCAAGTCTATCCAGTGGCGTCGGCGTCGTTTAGATATTTTCTGTCGGCCCTTCGTTGCGCTGGACACTGTCGGGGTGTTTGTCCACCTGCCAGCACAGTCTGTCCCAGAGTTTTAGACGTCGCTTGGCACTCTCGGTGTGTTCGACTCGGGTGTCGACGGGATCATCTGGGAGACCCAGATATTCCGCCAGGTTTATCTTGGGTAGGTCCCTCGCTCCGAGTCGCGGGCAATCCATCAGGATATGTTGGATGGTTTCTTCCGTGGCCCCGCATAGGCGGCACGACGGGTCCGTGTCGAACAGTTCCCAATGCCGCTTCCGCGTGGGCAGTGACCCCGTCCTGGCTTGGAACAGGAGGGCGCTTTCCTGTTATGTTATGATTCATGCACCAGATGGCGCTACGCGCAGTGCTAAAAAGAAAACATTTACGCTCAACCTTTAAAAGGTTCCATTAACCGGGCCTAGTAAGTCACTTGCTGTTTCAGGAAAACGTAGACATCTCGTACGTTCAAATACGTTTCAGTCAAGAAAGCCAACGACTGAATCAGAGAAGCGCATATTTGAAAGCCACGCGCGTTAGGGCGGCAGGAAGTGGTTATGACACCTTGGTTATGACACCTTGGTGGTTATGACACCGGCAGGACCTGTTGGTATGACACCTCTCTGTATACTTTGTTCTTTGTGACGCAGCTGGAGACGAGGGCACGCAGACAAGCAATATATGCGTTTCACTGTGTGTTCGCAAATGTGATGCAGTGAAAACTTGAATGTTTCTGGAACCTGCGCTGACACCGCTGTATTCGCCACGTTGATATCGACTCTCGCGGTTATAAGTGTGACTTAATGTCATTCGTTTATATCTTCAAATGACGAAATGGAAGGCACAGAGGTTTCGTGTCGTCTTGTTCTGGTGAAAGATGGGCATATAATGTTGAACATCTCGTTTTAATTATATGAGTACTTGTTTCTAGGAAAAAATGTGAATTTATTTCCTTCTACTCCTATCTTTCAGTGCTCTTTCCATAGTTCGGGGTAACTGACTGTCTGAGCCTGGCTATAACATGAGCGTTGGCAGGGAGGAGGGGGAGGGATGCAAAAGAGGCGCTTGCACCACGCTCCCCGAAACGTAACACACCAGTGCTTGCACTCCCTCCCCCTTTCCTCATCACCTTTGAAGTATACTGCTTTGCGCTCACTAAGACAAAATCTACTACCGACGCCCATGCATGCTGTGGTTAGCCTCCTTCAGTCTCGTTCCTATACCTAAGTTCTGCCTTTCTCCAGGCTATAGCGCCATTGAAGTGCTTATAGACCTTCTCTTTCTCGGCATTGTGCAGGGTTGGCCTCGAACGGCTGTGCCGACGAGGAGTCGGCGAGCCGTGCAAGCCCCGTGGCCGTCGCCGCAGGCGGCGACGGCACCAGCGTCACCAGTGCCGGCACTAGCGACACCAGGCCCGGCCATGCTGGAAGAGGGCATGGTCCTGCACTGCGCCTACTGCGCGCTCAGCTTCACGGGGGTCCAGCGCGGCGGCGCAGCTCAGGGACCACGTGTTGTGCGAGCACCCGAAGAGGGAGTCCGGAAGAAGACGCGTCGGTCGACGTGAAGAAGGAGCCCAGCTACGAGTCGACCCCGATGACCGTGAAGAAGGAAGAGCCGAGCGACGAGTCCGCCGCGCCGCGTCCCCCGAGCGACGGCCCCGTGGTAGGCGTGGCCGCCTTCACGTGCTCGAAGTGCGGCATGAACTTCTCCAAAAAGGAACACCTGGAGAAGCATGACCTGGTGCACACTGCTGCCCTTCCCGGCGCGCAGGTGAGTAAGAGAGCTAGACGACTGCTTTTAGCTTAATCTGGATGATGGCTTGCATTGTCGTCGCTGCAAGCGCCATGTTGGAGCACCTGTGGGTGGACGCTATAGATGATGGGATATCACCTTTATGTTATCAAAACGTCCATGTTATCAAACATCATGCTAGCTCTTTCGTTATTCACGCGCAGAGGCGTTCCTTCCGCGTTCTTATCACATTCAAGCAGGTTAAATGCAACTTGTTTGTCAACGAAGCCGCCATTTTGGAGTGCCAGCACGTTCAGAAGCGGCGACCATGACGTCGCATGCAAGCTGCATATTGAAGTGCTTTTGTACTTGCGAAGCTGTTGGTCGCAAGCAAATGTGTGAAATCTCGCTATAGCAGTGTATGAGGCGCTGCGTACGCAAAGGTCCCTCCGTTTGGATAGGCAACGTCTATATTCCATGTGCTGCTGCTCCCGGAGCCGCTATAGAGTCATGAAACGAAATCAAGAGTAGGTTTCGCGAATGATTACTCGGAGACTCGCTATTTATGTGGCAATTGCGCATGACCGTTTGGGCGTCGTAATAACCATGTAAGTCTAAATCATTCCTACAGTGTGTGTAGTGGCGAAAAGAGGTATAGGAAAGAACGCGTTTTAGTTCGCCATATACTTGTTCGTAAGCCATGCAACTAACGAGCGACCCCAGTATTCGAGTGTTACCCAACTTTGGAGGTAACATATAGGATCCTCTGTGTTTCCTCCGGCAAAACCACTCTCGAGGGTGGTCTTGCCGTGCGAGACATCAGCGTATCTAAACTATATATAGGCTGTCCAACTTATAGACAAATATTCTGGGAAAAACTGTAGTTTTGTTATGTGAGGATTGAGAGAGAGGGGGGGGGATAAACGAATGAGACAGGGAGGTTAATCTGCTATAGAAGACCCGGTATGCTACCCTTAGAATAGGCTGGTGAAGCGATGCTGAATTATTAAATCGCACTACCCATCCCTATAAAAAATGGCAGAAAGAGAGTCTCTCTCTCTCTCTTTCGGAAACACGGTTCAAGCATTTCGCAGGATAGCATCTCCCTCAGTTTTTTTGATGAGCAACAACCCACCTGTTCAGTCTGTGTTTCGCGTCAAAAATTTATTACCCCTTGAAGACCTTGCATGCAGTGGCACGTTCACTATGCGCACTCTGCAGGTCGTCGTAATAAGTGACTTCGCTTCATTACTAAAGCGGCCGTTTTCGGAGCTTATACTTCGGTGCCCCGTTAAATCCCATAGTTTGTGGTGATGTACTTCCGGTCAGAGTATATAGACGTATATGCACTATAGCCTCCAGCAAAGATCGCACCATGCAGACGCTCGAAATGTCTTGCTTCCAGCACAGTCGCTCATCAGTCTCGCATGGTATATAGGAAACAACAGTTCCTCGTTTCGCTTTCTCGAAGGTTCGCGCTACGCTGCTCGTTGTTCGGTCGAATGGCCGCGGTTGGCGCCGCTATCGAGTTCGACCTGTTTACGACGCGCCTGACTCGCTATACTTCCTGCGGGTCTCTGCGTGCGGCCTGAACGACGCAGACATGCGGTGGCTCTGATTGCTCGCTCTCCGCAGGATCGAGGAGAAAGGAAGTGATTTCACCCCTTTTGTAATGCCATATCCTCCTGGGGCAGGGACCGCGCGCGTGCCTTGCCAACTGGGATGCCTATTTTTATTTCTCCGACTCGCGTTTCTTCGTGGTATAGTTCAAGGACGGCACAGCTCTGGTTTTTGGTGACAGGCGATGTATACCTGTGGTGTATACCCTGTATATACATGCGCACTATATGGAAGAGTCCTATATGTATACTCGAACCGTCGCCTTTAAGTTTCGCGGATAACGTCATGTTTGTGTGATTCTACGTGACCCACCCCGCAGAGGAGGCGGAAATGTTGTAGGCCCGTGTGCTCAGATTTGGGTGCACGTTAAAGAACCCCAGGTGGTCTAAATTTCCGGAGCCCTCCACTACGGCGTCTCTCATAATCATATGGTGGTTTTGGGACGTTAAACCCCACATATTAATCAATCACCCCGCAGAGGAACGATCGACGAGCTATCTGTCTCACGCCTCAGCCAATCAAGGGGCCCGGAAATCGGCTGCTTTGAGATTGATCGTGTGAGAGATGCATGGCGCTCAACTGGTAGAAACGCACAACGATATTTTGCACCTTTCTGTATACCTTTTGACAGGAGAGAAGAAACTCCGCCATGCTGGGCTGCGTGCTGGGGTACATAAGCTGAGGTCACAGGCTCGACAGTGCATTTTTGGGGGGTCACACCCATTCAGCGCAGCGCAGATGATCATGATGGTGTCCGGGGAGCCGTCTGTTGAAATGTTCATTCTCGATGGCTCAAATTTAATGGGGACGCGTTTGTGCGCCTGAAAAGCGTTAGATGTGGCAACCCTGAGTTTGCAGCGCTGAATATATACCATCGTACAGCTCACTTGGAACTAGAGTGCGCTAAAACGTCGAACGCGGTGTGTAGCACCGCCGCGTAATCCCGTGGGTCTGCTGGAAAGATGCTGAGAGCGCTGTATGTGTCATGAACGTGTCTCGCATAGGCCTTTATATACTCTACTTTTCGAAAAAAATATGCACAAGCACTCGCCTGCTGTTCGTGCAAGCTTCACCGGCCACTGATTGCTTTGGTTGATAAAGTCACTTCATTCTTGCACTTCGCATAAGATCGCCCTGTCTAGTGCTCGCGCTTCAGATCGGCACTGAGCCATTTAGCTCGCATTCGTGACAAGCGTAATGATTCCGATATATATAACGTATGCATGCATGCAGCCACGAAACACGTATCCCCGTATATTTCCGAGCACTCTATAGACCATCTTTGGTCGAAGAATGTGACGTAGGTCACGACGTCAGCAATCCCTCACAGCTGATAACAAGTGGCCGAGATTGTATATATGCTCGCTTTAATGAGGTGCAATATTAGGTGATCCTTGTCGTGTGATTTCTTTGAATGTTAGAAACTAAGTAAGCAAAATTTTAAAACAAATGTTACGATAGCGTCCAATAAAGCAATATGCAGATTTAGAATATAGCGCACGCAGAGATAGTAGAGAGCTTTCGAATATGGCGCCCAAAGCCCTTGGTATATACGATGTATCTTCTGTGTTTGCTACCACTGCGCAGGCGCGGAATACACTGACACACTGGGTTTAAGGGCCCCTAAAGAGCCTTTGAAAATGCGAAGAACGAGCGAGGTGATTCGCTTCCGCGGTGTTTCCCGTCTTTGCGGCACAATTCGTGACGTCAGCAGTTCACGTGTAACGTCAGGATGAAATGAGCTCTCGATCGTGCTTTTCCATGCCCGTTCCGCCTTAACCTTCTCGCATGACTGTCACGCCCGATAAACTGCATGATTTCAGTTCGTTTTCTGCGTTTGCGACTGCGCGAGCGGAGATAACAGTGTGAAGTCGAAAAGCGTGAAATCTTGACCGGCTCAAGGCTTATATCTGACGTTCCTCGTGCTTTTAGAACAAAGAAGCGGTGAGGAGGTGATAGCGCTTGCGAATGTGAGAAAGAAATGACCGTCTCGCATTTGAACTCGTTGTGGTTTTATTGATATGTGGGGTTTAACGTCCCAAAACCACCATATGATTATGAGAGACGCCGTAGTGGAGGGCTCCGGAAATTTAGACCACCTGGGGTTCTTTAACGTGCACCCTAATCTGAGCACACTATCCTACAACATTTCCGCCTCCATCGGAAATGCAGCCGCCGCAGCCGGGATTCGATCCCGCGACGTGCGGGTCAGCTGCCGAGCACCTTAGCCACTAGACCACCGCGGCGGGACAACTCGTTGTGGTACTCGTTGTGGTTTAGGGGTTTTTAATGTTACGATCGTCATGTAATGCGTACCCTGCATATTCTAAAACTAGTCTTTTTTAAGTCGTTTCACTCGCGCGGAAATCAGGCTCGTGGTGAATTTTTGAGGACGATGAGCCAGCGCCCGCCCGATGCTTTTTTTTTTATTTGACGAATCTCATGGACTATAGAGTGCCTCGATGCGAGAAGATGAAGAAAGCGCCTAATATCTGCAGCCCGGTGGACGCCTTCTTTTTTCTTTTTAACCACTACACCACGGCCGGACCGGGGAAACACGCAGGGCTTCCTTGTAGGAAAAAAAAAAAAGAAAAGCTCCCTCGTGTCCCTCCACACCATAGGCTGCCGAAACGTTAGCGTCATCTGACGTGCTTCACCATAACGCCTGACGCAACGGGCGCCGTTCTTGATGTTTTACTGCAAAAAGACTTTTACCCCCGTATTATAGAACGTCCCTTCACTCAGTGCTTCACTTCCACATGAAAAAACCGATAGAAGCGCCATCTCTTAGCACGGCAAATCACTGCGTATTAGCGATAACCTGCTGCAAGTCCTGAGTAGCGCATCGTCATTTTCAGCCGAGTGGTGGCGCAGTGCTCAACTCTGTCAAGTGAAGGGTGAAAGTCGAGTTGAGGGGCGTTTGTGAATACGGGGGTTGATGTCCCATGCTCACGCGTCCGTCCGTGCCCTGGCATGCATGGTGTCACGTGGCTGCCGGGGCGCGGACGCCGGTGTCTGCAGTGCAGCGTCGCTGTGGCAGCGTGTCCAATCATTCAAGGGATTCATCGTGGGATATTTTACAGCGCGACGGGTTAGAACGGACAGGGAAGGGACCCGTTGCGCTGTAAAATATTCCACGATGCACATCCACCAACTCGCGATTCTGGTTCAAGGGAGATGCACGCATCGCCTTCTATAGTCTGACCATCTCAATGGGCCCATGCACGTTCGCCGAACACACTTTGGAACTTAGGAGTGTGGCAGCTTGGGCTAGTTGGTATGGCATGACGATAGTTATAGTGCGAGAACAAAACGACGACACAGAGACAAGAAGGTGTCTTTCGTGTCCTTCTTGTCTCTGTGTCGTCGTTTTGTTCTCGCGCTATAACTATCGACACTTTGGAAATTACAGAGTGTCCAATTTTTTTTTTTTTTTCCCCGCGCAGCCGCGTTCCCAGGCGCCCGTCCAGCCAAGTGCCGATGAGAACGCGGCGTTGCGCAAGTTCAAGTGCCCCGAACCGTCGTGCGGCAAGGCGTTCAAGTTCAAGCACCACCTCAAGGAGCACATTCGCATCCACAGCGGCGAGAAACCGTTCGAGTGCCCCCACTGCCAGAAGCGGTTCTCGCACTCGGGCTCCTACTCGTCCCACATGACGAGCAAGAAGTGCCTCGTCGTCAACCTCAAGGTAACCAGCAGTTTCACTCTATACTGTCACGAACACGAGCTAGACGAAAGGAATAGGGCACGTTCAAGTGGTTGAAGCACATATCCGCTGGCCTTGTTGCGGTTCTTTTTCAAATGAAGTCAGAAACTTCTTTTTTGTATGCGTACTAGTAATTGAAGAGCACCGGTGAATCAGTGTGAACTGGCAAAGTGACGTTTGGATTGTTTATTAATTTGTCGGGATAATGTTGATTGTTGTTGTGTAATATGAGTAAGCTTTCCTTTTTTCTCAAGTATCCTGTATAAACAGTATAGAAAACAAGCGCCCCTCTTCATAAGTTTGTCTCTTCTGTACGGCTGTCATGCCTGTTTTTGTTTACTTCCCAGTGCACTACCACAGCACGCTATTTAGACTTAAGTGCTTTCGTTTGCACAGAAGGTCGCTATTTGAACATATGTCCGTATACAAATGCATGCATGCGTGGTGGGGTTCAAAAAAAGTTCACGCGGCGAGATGGTTCGGACCTTCTGGGAAAGATCAAGTGCAGAACGGGCACTCAGAAAGTCGAAATACGATGGACAGGGACATACGACTACACCGAACAAGACCCAGCCTTCATTCGCACGCAGATCCATGTGGACGTATAAACGTTAGCGGTCGTCGTCACTCAGCGGGAAGCCCGCAAGAGGTGAGCATATACGACGCATGCGCAGCGCAAAAGCAAAGCGTACCGCTGTTCTAAAACTCGCTATTTCTGACACCATTTACTCAAAGGTGCCTCGCCCTTTCGTTGTACCCGATACTCTCAACGGGTACGTATACGCCACCTCCCGTTCGTAGCGTATACGAACATCGCATGTGCCGTTTCCCTGACGTAGAATGTATACAGTGCTTTCTGCGGACTTTTAATTACGCATTTCCTCTGCCTAATGGATCTGCATCACCAGCGCATGCTCTTGCAAAAACACAGACGCACCTGCGTTAGCGAGCATGGCTGGAGCAGACCACCCCGATGCGCTCGTTTAAACCTGGCGCCACGAGGCACAAGCTGCTTGGCAGTGCGGGAGGAAAGGCGAGGGGTGGATTCGCTTTCTCGCCGCCACCGGGTTTCACTGAACGGCGCTTCTGTCTCTCTCGCGGTCGGCCCTTCTTCGCAGCGAAAAAAAAAAGAAAGAAAGAAAGAAAGAAAGAAAGAAAGAAAGAAAGAAAGAAAGAAAGAAAGAAAGAAAGAAAGAAAGAAAGAAAGAAAGAAAGAAAGAAAGAAAGACGTCGCTTGTGGTGTGAGTTTCGAGGACGGCCACCCGCAGTCGCAGAAGGCAGAGGCGACAGGCGCGGAAGCACCCGCTAAGCTTTTCCAGATGGGAAAGGCGGCGGCGCGCATTGACGAGATTTCGTGCGAGATCGTTCGAAACAAATGCTTCCACAACGCGTGTGTCTCATTGTTGCACGTGCCGTATCTCGAGCTGCGTAAGATTGAGCGGTGTATCGCCTTGTCACCGCTGTTTACTTCGTCGTTATACCATGCAGAGACGCCGCTAAACGCACCGGTATACGTGTGTGCGGTCCACGTGGCGAACCTGCGGGCAGATGTACCAGCCGGCTCCTTATAACCATCCGCCGCGCTCAATAGATGGATAAGATTACAGATACCCGCTATATTGTCTGCAGGCTCACCTCCTGGTTGTGAAACGTGCGGCTTCGTTGTAATTATTTCCTGTTGGTTCTTTTTTAAGAAAGTTTCGTACGTTTTCTGTTACCCGGAATGCCGTCGGCGGTAGCGGAAACGGACAGTTATAAGAGACAGCACTCGAAAATGAAACAGTGCTGCAGATGGTTAAAGAAAATCGCAACAGATGTTCACATATAGTTACATCTGGCAAACGGAAACAACGAAGTAACTCGGTCTGTTCATGAATAGGGTTGGGTATGCTAGCTGCACCTATAGGTGGCACTATTGGCACCACGCGAACATACAGGATAACAACTTCATTTTTAGCTTATCGAAGCAGAATTTTTCGAAACTTTTTTCGAGAGCCCTCGCCTATAAGGATCCTTCTCGTGAGCAGTGAGGGGTGTTGGTGGTGCTTATATATTTGTCATTATATAGATTAAAGCTTTTTACTGCGACTCGTCGAACTAGCGTCGCACTTTGCGTCATATACGCTGCCATCCGACCGTCCCGACTGTTCTCCCGCCGGTGTAGTTCGTCAGCGACTCCTTGTGAATGTTATGCCTCACGTTGTATGCTCTGAAGCGCCGAGTTTTCTTTATAGCTGTCAGAAGGGCTTCCGGCTATATGATGCAGCTTCCAATATGACGTCACACACTATCGCGCAAGTGACATCCGCGCGGCGCTTATGCATACCATATATACTCATAAATATAAAAAAACATTAACAATGTTACGATCAAGATATCTCAACTATGGGTGGTTTCCTCGTGAATTTTATTCGTGGAAGAGGCGCTTTGCGTATACAGTCTCTCAAAGCTATCGCAGTGATATACCCAGTCGCCGTCGTCACACTGTTCGCATCGACCGTGTTAACGGTTATTAGTCGTTATTGGTTCTATTAAGAATAATAATTATTATTATTAAGAATTAATATTAAGAATTATTAATTTTCGGGGCATCAAGTGCTATAACCACGGTATGTTTATGAGGGAAGTCGTTTTGGAAATTTGGAACCCCTGGTGTTCTTCAACGTGCAGCTTAAGCTAGTTGCTCGGGCCCTATCACCGAAACGTGGCCGCCGCGGCTGAAATTAAACAGAATAACCTCTAGACTTCTATAGGTAAACACAATAATCTCTAGACCGACGCGGCGGGTCAGTGTTTGCTGCAATTACCTCTTGATGTCTCAGCTCTGTTGTTATAAATAGTAGGAGAAAACAAATTAGGGCATAACTTGGCGTAGTATTGCTTGCTTCCGCAACTAACCAAAGTTTTCTGGCGTCACGCTTAGTGGTTAATCCAGAATTTCGACTTGATGGGGTGGAAGTGTGTGTGTGTGTGTGTGTGTGTGTGTGTGTGTGTGTGTGTGTGTGTGTGTGTGTGTGTGTGTGTGTGTGTGTGTGTGTGTGTGTGTGTGTGTGTGTGTGTGTGTGTGTCAGTGCCCGTTTGTAAGAGGAGAGAGGCGATGTTTTTGCGGAGTAAATATTTGTGTGCGTGGGGGGGGGGGGGGGGCCCTTTGGGGTAGTGTCGGGGGGTATACAGAGGAAGGAGGGCGAGTTGTGTGAATCCCTGTCACATATATGTCGATGGTGTCGCAACCATACACGCTAAAACTCCGTGGCCGTGCGAATACGGGCGTTACAGAGCAAAGTCAAGACTATACCCAATCCGCCCTTTTGTGGTTACTTGACTTCTTTCTTGCATCCGTGTTTGCGCACCCAGGTTTTTTTTTTTTTTTTTTTTTTGCCTACGAACTGGCTGTTATTCCATGCCACAAGTATACGTACACAGATTGCTATTCACGTATACTCTCTAGACTCGAAACGTCCCACGGATTCTGACTCGGCCGCATGTTAAGGGACGCGTCGTTTCTGGGAAAAGCGAAGAGAATAAAAGGCAGCGTATAGAGAAAGGCGGGCGTTCACGATCTCCGCATGCTGGCGCAGCAGGTGCAGAGGAGAACACTCAGCAGGCGGCCTTGTCTCCGGGCCGAACCCATCTCGGCCACGGTCGGAGGAGACCCTCGTAAAAGAGGGTATATACCTCCTGGACGCGGGACTTTCTTTCCTCGCGGGCATGCAACTCTCGACTCGGGGAATGGGAACATTGAGGTCGCGGTGAGGAGGTGAGCCGCAGTTCAGCTTTTTGAAGGAAACTTGCATGTGCCGCATCTTCCGCCACATTGTCGCCAGCAGGTTGGTCGGCTGGCATACAGCATTCCGTTGCTTATACAACAAGCCTGGTCTGCAGGGCACCGAGTTCCTGAATTGCTCCGTGATCTTTAAATATTCACGAGCCGTTTCAAAATGGTAGTTTTCCGTGCTTGTTGGTATACGGACGCGTTCTGTCGTAAACAGCATGAAAGCAGGGGACGTGCGCACAGTATGAGGAGGGGACGTGATAATCTAGAGGCGACAATGTTTGCGCCCGTATGCATGCTTATATTTAGGTGCACGTATGTCATAGAACCCCAGGTGGTCGAAATTTCCAAAGCCCTCCCCTACGGAATCTCAGGCTCCTAATCATGTGGTGACACCTGTACGTTAAACCCCCAACAACTATTATTAGTAATGTTATTTATATTGCAATTTAAGAACTATTTACTTATCATCTTTACCGCCAGATAGCCGGGGACCACTGCCGGGTCGTTGCGAGAAGGATGTCATTGTTATGTTTCCATTGTGTGTCCATTGCGAAGCTCGCGTTTTTTTTTTTTTTTTTTGCGTTCAACGAAAGAAGGAGGGGGTGAAACTTGGTTTCTTCTATCGGATAAACCAGCGCACTCCTACGGATATAACGGTAACTAAGGAGAGATTAAGGTGTCGTGTGTAGCAAGTGTTCATGTTTGCCTACTCTGCGCTCATTGCAACACTGCTCTCTGTCAAATATCAACCTTTCCGCACAATCACGACTTCGTTAGCACAATCACGACTTCGTTAGTTACAGCGTATTTTCAAAACGAGCCCCAGTTTCGTAATCCAGTTATGCGATGCGTCTACAAGTTATTCTATATACGCAGCTATAAGAATACGTTCGCTTGTGACGACTAAACGAAAAATACAGTACACCCGTCGCGCTTCCGCGTCACGACACGCAGAAAAGAGAGCTCGGAAGAGAAGTCGAGCTGGGGAGAGAAGCACGAATTCCTTTTCGCAGCCGGCCATGTCGCCGCCGTCTTTTGTTGCCAACTGACGGGGCCCGCTGCTTGTTTTTGCTTGGCCGCGGCGCTTGTGTGCCCTTTGGCGGTGGTTTAGACGATGCCTCTTCCTCGAGATAGGTGCACGGTGGTGCCGCCAGGTTTTCCCGGCGTCTTGCCGGTGCGGGGCAGTGGGACGGCTGAGAGATGCGGGACGGGGGGAGGAGATTTGGCGCGCGTAGCACGTGTGGGTCTCGCCTTGACGCCCCTCCTTCGGTTCCTCCCGTTCTTTCTTACAGCTCCGTCGTTTCGCGTCTCCTCTCCCGCTCATCTTTTTCTTTGGACACTTGTTTCGTGCTTTTGAGTCCTCCGCGCTCGACTGGCCCTCGCCAACTTTTTCCGACTGGTGTGTACGTTGTGGACGGAACCCGCGGCACCTCGAGTGTACGCGTCCGGCTGGGTCGGGAATAATGTGTGCGTCCAAATGTTCCGCCTACCTGCTGAGTATGCACCGCTGGACAGGGGCGGCTGCTTCGAGATGGTGCTGTTGCGAAGAATAACATCGACTGCTTTTGCACTGCGCGCTGTTGAGGGCTTGCGCTCAACGAACGTCAACGGAATCTGTAAGCACTTCACCATCGGTTGACTTCGAGAAAAAAAAAAGGTTTTGGAGTGAGTCTTCGGGCTCGATAATTTCAATTCGTGGCGCAGATGAAATGAGAATAACATATGCCGACTCTGTTCACTTATGTGAGTGCGAGAATTGTATAATGAGGGCCTTCTTTGATGCTTGTTGCAACAGCGAAGAGCTGTTGCTCGTCTTGTTGTTGCCTTTCGTTGCGTTATTTTCCAACCACGAGGGAATCGTGGTACACTTGAAGCAGTGAGCATCTTTACATATATGGTTTGCCTTGCTACCTTAGCCCTTCTTCGCTAGTTTTAGTTTCCCTCGTAGATCGAAAGACGCGCGCTGCTCACTTGACAGCTGTCGCTGAAAGCGCTATTTATAAGATGTAATTTTGATTGCAGGTTCGCAAGATGGACACCAAGGCGGCGCGGCAACGTGCCGCCAACGGGGCCACCGGTGGTGCCCAGGGCAACACCTACCGGCCCATCATTCCAAAGTTCGGCACCGGCGGCGAGGTGTCCGTGACACCTCTGGCGAACTCTTACATGCACGATCGTTTCCCGTTTCCCGGGGACTACGCAGCCCGCTCGCCGTCGTCCGCAAGCCAGCCGGGCGTGGCGCCGCCGTTTCTGGCTCCGTACACTTCCCCGCTTGCCTTCCAACACCTGCTGGCCAGCCATCTCTCGGCGATTTCCCCGCAGTACCACCTGTCCAATCTCTCGCCATCGTTCAGCGAGGTCGCCCAAATGCTCCAAGCCAGCACCGCCGTCATGGAGAATACCCCGATGCCCGTCAACAACGGTGAGCTCAAACTGCAGCAGCACGAAGCCTTCAAGAGACTCCTCGAAATGATGGACATCGCGGCTGCCAAGCCCAGCAACGGCGCCTCGCCACCTCCGCCCAAGAAGAACGGCCTTCTTTCCGGCCTACTGGACTCTGCTCCTCTACAGGCCAGCCGCGATGACCCGGTGCCCAAACGCGAGTACACGTGCGTCCACTGCAAGACTGCCACATTCGACAGTTTGGCGGCGCTGCACCACCACGAAAAACTCGTGTGCCCCGCTGCCTGTGACGTAAACCGGAACCTTTACGCCGACGTCAGGGGTCCTCCCGCATTACTTCCGTTGGCGGCGGTCAGGGATGAGTCTGGTCGCGAGTCGAGCGGTGGAAGCGACGTGACTGACGACGACGACGCCGAGAGCGGCGAGGATGGTGGCGGGAGGCGACCCCGACCGGACACCATATTGCCGCGCCACCAAAGCTTCCTGCAGGCCGCCTTCTCAATGAATCCTTCGCCGAATCGCGTTTATCTGTCCAACCTCGCGCGAAGAATTCATTCGAGCACGAGGAGCGTGCGCGCGTGGTTTCGAAGTGAGGCGGCGGCCCGGTCTCTTGCGACCTCGTCACGCCAGCTGTCATCGCCGTCGTTCGGTTCGTCTCCCTCGTCCAAACCCGGGGAGGTCGTCGGCTCCCCGCTTCAGGTTTCGTACGCTTCTCTCGGTGTGGCGCTGAATGGCGGTGCGTCGTTACCAGACGTACAACCATCGGATCCAGCGCTTGCAGAATCCGAACAGCCTCTGGATCTTTCGGTCAAGTCCCTGGGCGGCCGTTCCGGTTCAAATACACCCTGGAGTATCGGTGGTTTCAGCTTGGGTCACGGGGAACCGGAAAATGACTGCGAAGCTCTCAACCTGAGTCAGAGATCTCCGCGCACTTCGACGCCCAGGGAGAGCGACACGGTGTTGCTCAACGGCGACGTTCCGCAACGGCGCCGGTCACCGCCTTCGTCGCTTCGGTGTCCCCTCGTACCCTACACAGCGTCCGAAGACTTCAAGACGGCCGCCATGTTTCACACTGGAAGCCCCCTACTGTCCTCTTCAGCGAACCGGATTCTCGCTCTGTCGGCTTTCAAAAGCATCGACTTCGAGGCCGACTTGCAGCGGTACCGTGAGCTTCCCTTCCGGGACAGGCATCACCACCACGGTTACCCGTCGACGCCGCAGGAACCAGTCATGGGACTCTCGTTGGCTTCCCCCCACGCGGCGCTCTCGCCGCCGACCATGCGCTCGTCGACGTCATCGGACAGCCGCGACGCCACCAACAGCCCTCCCACGCACAATACCTCCGGCTTCAGGGTCGGCAAGATGCTGTCCTCACCACTATACTATCCGGACGCGGAGGACCAAGGCAGCGGAGAGCCCGGCAGTCCTAAATGCTACCTGAAGAAAAACTTCAGACAGGTGAGCTTTTGCACTTTGCTCCATGTTTGGCCCGACGCCCCGGACGGTTCTGGTTCTAAACCTATATGTGCTATCGGTGAGACCTATGATGGTAAAGAACTCTAAGCAGAGGTAGAGATAAACAACGTTTCACACACATATATAGTATGTATAGAGTGAAGCTTTGTTTTTCACTTACTCTTTGTTTGTTTGACTCTTGCTGCATGAAACGAGGTTTCATACAGCACAACACTCCTTTACTAAAGCCTTTATTGGAGTTTTGATTGAATGTCTGTGTATCCTTAGGGGGTCACTTTAACATCCTTTGTAAACAACAGTGGTCATTATCCGAGCGAGTCTATATCATGTCTCGCTTGACAAGGCTGCGTTCAAAGAGCACTGAAATGAAGCTGCGAATTATGTTTAGAATGGATAAATGCTGCGTTGAGAATTCTAACGTGGTTAATTTTCACCATCATAAGCTCACAATTTAATAGAAGAGAAAAATGGTTTTCACTTCACCTCGCGCCGACATCATGTTGTGTGATGTCACGCATTTCAAATCGTATTTTAGTGGCATTTACTCAATGAAATCTATATGTTAGCTCTGTGGTTCCTCAGAGATCAATGTACTTCATTTTTTACTCATTAGGAACTTCTTAGTAGATGGCATCAGTTTACATGACGTCACAACTTTCAATGTGGTAATTTCTAAGGGGCGTCGCTACCCACATTTTCTTCCAATGACGCGCGTTTTCTCGCTGACTATATAATCGTCTGCTCGTGGCAAGCGGGGTGATCTTGGAATTGTGAAAGACTAACTGACTGGTTTAAGATAAAATGTAGTGTCTCCTTAAAAAGAGCACTGACACGAATTTTACATGTTTTCCCGTTATTGATTGATTGGTTGATATGTGGGGTTTAACCTCCCAATACCACGATATAATTATGAAGGACGCTGTAGTGGAGGGCTCCGAAAATTTTGACCACCTGGGGTTCTTTAACGTGCACCCAAATCTGAGCACACGGGCCTGCAGCATTTCCGCCTCCATCGAAAATGCAGCCGCCGCAGCCGGGATTTGATCTCGCGACCTGCGGATCAGCAGCCGAGTACCTTAGCCACTAGGCCACCGCCGTGGGGCTGTTTTCGCGTTATTCAAAAAGAAATTACGGCTGTCGAGAACCCCCAAAACAGTGTCGTAGTCTTTGGGAATGTATTGAATGAATTTTGAATAGGGCTGTCGTAAAACAACGATTTTGGTTTCTATATTAATACTAATAGAGGGAGGGCCTCGCTCTGGCAAGTCATCACATGTCTGATGTCACGGAAAGACTGCAACTCGCGACATACGAGCAGCACCTGTCAGTTTGCTGCCAGTCGCACGAAGTTCACGTAAAGAACCACGAGTCCATTGTCGTTCAGAGACGGCGATTTCTGCAATTCAGACTGCATGCAGAACGCACACTTTGCAATCCTGGTCAGCTGCATTGACTTGCCGTGTTAACGTGCATCACTATGAGCCTGAAATGCAATTGCAGGGCGACGAAAAATTTAAAATAAAAGTAAAATATTATTACACGCGTTGTCCGGCTCCCGCGCGTGGACAGCGGTGCACACCATGGATGAGAACGAGCTTCTAGGGTGCCTCACTATCGCGCCGCACTCCTCTGAAGCGTCCACTAAAGTGCTTCTCTTGTATGCAGGGCGATGCGGAGTGCTTAGCGGAAGATGACTGCCCGTCGAATGATGAGGACCCGCGCCAACCGGGCTCCAAGAAGCGCAAGCTTTCGGCCAAGGGCGACGGAACCGGAGAAGACGGCTGCAACTTTTGCTGCGACCAGTGCGAAAAGACGTTTAACAAGCAGAGCTCCCTTGCCAGGCATAAATACGAACACTCAGGTCAGTGGCTCGTCAGATGGATAACCATTCGTTGGATAGCATAGTGCTACGATAGCCCTGCAGTTTCAATTAACGCAGACGCATTTTATGTACAACGCCATCAAATTCATGTTACAGACTATTGCATGAAGTAATTGCCTAATTAGGCAATATTCGTTGGCCAATTTTTAAAGGAATGAAGCTAGGAAAAATTATATTAAAATTTTACACAGAGTTTTGTAAAACGTAGGATTTAACAGTTTGTAACTTCATATCTAGTATAACTTATAAGTGTTTGTGTTTTTTTTCTTACGGCAAATGGTGCAAGATACCAAGAAACAAATCACTGGGGCATGCCCGCTTGTGAGCCGTGATTCCAGTGCGAAACGTTAGGGAGCACTCCAGCTATAGTCAGAGCGTTGATATAAGGGAGAGAGTAGTCTGTGGGAGTGCAGCGAGGAGTACCCCTGCACCTTGTCAATGCATGATGCATGGCCTGGTCGCAGACACGTACTGGAATTTTGTGACGTCTATTGTCGCTAGAGTTACTGGTAGCTGAGTTGCGTGTAGGGCTGACAACCGCAGCTATGCGGCAAAGCCCCACTAAGTTTTTGCAGGCGACATTCGTTTTTTGTCGATTATAGACATGTTTGGCCTGTCGAAGACTGACTGTCGATGACCAGTGTCAATCCAGTTCATTTCAGTGATGTTGTTAAAAAATACAAAAATTGGTGTGAGTGTCAAATTCCCCACAACTAATGGCTGCTAGCTGCAGTTGTAATATAGACGCGCAAGTCTGTTTACTAAAGGTACCCATACAGTAACTCTAGTTGCCGCAATTTTATAACGCCAACTAGCATTCGTGCTCGCTTCATGTCTCGCTATAGTTAATCGTAGGACCAATTGTCTAATCGCTGCGCTATTACGCGTGCGCACAGTGTCAGCTGCAGAACAGACCATAACTGTATACCTTTCGTCCCTCGTAGGCCAACGACCACACAAGTGCGACGTCTGCGAGAAGGCCTTCAAACACAAGCACCACTTGACGGAGCACAAGCGGCTGCACAGTGGCGAGAAGCCTTTTCAGTGCCAGAAGTGCTTCAAGCGTTTTTCCCACTCGGGCTCATACAGCCAGCACATGAACCACCGCTTCAGTTACTGCAAGCCCTACCGAGATAATGGCAAGTAAGGCGAGCGCCCCGTCCATCGACCTCCAGCGGAAGGACCTGCCCAAGGCAGCCCCGGCACGACCCTCCGAACCCGCGGTGAGCGCGCCGGTTGTAGCTGGACGTCTACGCCATCTGCTTGATCACGAGAAGCCACGCGTCTCTGCGCTGTTTGATTAGATGCAGTCGCAAAATATTGAAAACCTTCAGTGTGGCGCAAGCAGATGGCTGGAGGGGCGGTCCACACTTCGGCCAAGAGCCAAACGAAGTAATTGGCAATTTTCGTCAACGCATTCCAAGGAGTAGGTGAGCTGTGGTCAGCGAGAGTGTGGAAAAAGGGCAGCCGCTGCTCCGTTGATAGAGTTCTTCGTGTGTTCAAGGTTTCGCGTCAGCTTCGTTCGACGGTGTTCCTGTGGCCTCAGTCAGCTGCGGGACCGGCCTCCTCACTCCCGCAGTCCCTGCAGGTGTTCAGGCCTGAACTTATGAACGACGGTGCCGTGTATCCAGGATCGCGTGCTGCCGTCACCCATGCTTCGAGACGCACGCTCAAGTTCCAGGAGGAGACACCGCACGATGCTACGTGACAAGCTTGCTTCCGGCCACGCGATTCCTCCGGCAAGGGTCGACGCCTGCGCCAAGAACCGGTGCCCTTTGCCTCGGCATCTGTCGAGACCTAGACAAAGTGCCGGAAGCGGATCTCGGAAGACAAGAGATGCGAGCCACGCGAATTGGAGCGCGGTGTGTGTGCGCGTGACTGTTTACTTGAGACAATGACCCTCAGTGTATGCTGGTTACTTCCGGTCATCTCCCCAGTAGCCTCGTGGACAAGACCTGGGACTCCGACGCAGCAGCACCTCTGCACTTAGTTCCTCCATCCTTCCACGAACAAGGGAAAACGCATGAGGTTCGCTTTGTTACCGACTGCAGCAGCTTCACGGGATCAAAAAAGAAGAGTAATTTAACGAGAGTGTACGTGACTGAATGACTTGAGGGACGTGTTTTGCCTAGACGAGTGTTGCTGGGACTCGCTCTCGCTCTTTAGTGTTTGATTTTGTTTTCTCTTCCCGCCTACTTCGCTGTCTTTCCTCTCCGCTAATACATCTAACACAGACAAGAGCTGTTTTTACGCTGTACCATAGTACATTGCTGTTCGCGAGGTTTCTTTGAAGTGTGCTCTTCAACGCTTGTATGATCATTACACTATTACGCTATCCAGGCGTGCGCGCGTGAGTGCATGGGTGTTCGCTGTTTACCGCGCTGTAGTCGTCTCGGCTGCTCTATTCGACGACCGTTCCTCGTTCCTGCCACGACCTTGCAGTTGGTTCGCACGAGGCGCCTGTCTCTCTTGTTTCATTCCTGAAATATTCTCACTTTGTGATGTGACTGTAGTATCTACTGAGTCGCGCACGATTGTACTCATCATTACAGAGGGCCGAGTCACTACTCGTTTTGTTTCTCTCTTTTTTTTTCTTTCGCATTTGCTTTTTTCGTCAGCCTTGTCGCTGGTTCTGTGTGTTCAAGTTCTCGCGGCCCAAATTACAGCTGCGGCATTGTACCTGGTTCTTTTTATAGCATGGTAGCAGGTTTAACATCGTCCCATGGCATCTTGGGACGTTGAGCTCTTTCCTTTTTTTTTTTTTCGTCGAGCAACTTCCTCAAGTTTTTGGTGCAAGGCGTTTGCTCTGTGCAGCTGTGTGAATATAAACAACGAAGCTTGTCAATCGCACGTTCTTCGTCTCGCAATCTACTTAACTGCGTGAGAATTCCGCGGAGCTTTTGAAATGATAGCTTATCCCCCTGAGTTTGGCCGGATGCTGCATTTTGTTCTTTTTCATTTTTTTGCAATCCCATTGTGGAATGTTTCATCAGCCCTTTCTGTTTGTCATCAGCATTCGTTTTCCCTACCGTCATCTGGTTTTTACGTCAAAACAAATAATCTTCAGCTCCGCAATCGCCTGTTATGTTTGGCACTAGTCAACTGATGCGCGGCTAGTCGTTTTTTTTTTTTTTTTTTTACATCGGGATTGACGTGCAATCGCCTTAAAAACCAAAGAAGCCAAGAGATTTAGTCGTTTTCTTTGATTCCCGCTCTACTCAATTCCCATCTTGTAATGCTTTAGCGAAGTGACGCCGCTCTGTGAATCGTTACTGCGTTCGTGCTTGAGCCTCGTGTGTGCAGCTGTACGGTACGACGCATGCGTACTTTGCATGTGGCAGTGGCGCCATCTGTGGAGCGGTAGCAATTTGCTATGGCGTTGTCACATCTTCAGTCCACTGTGTCACAACGAGCTTATCTCGTTTTCTCTTCCTTTCCTTTGCCCTCCGAAGCGCTACAGTCGCAAGCAGCATGAACGGAAGAAAAAAAAAAAGCCGCAAACCGGCATTTAGTGGTATGCAATCAAATCGTGTACATAAGAGATTTCATTCATTTCTCGCGTTATGACATTTCGTTTTCTTTTTCTTTAAAGCAATCGTTTCATCTGTGCAGCAACATCACGCGTCGCACCTCTCGCCGTTGAACGCACTCTAGAGTAATGTGTATAAAACGTTGGTACTCCGCAACAAGAAAAAGTGATGCGCAAGCATGCACCAGAAATGCAATCTCACCTGCGTATCCCTCACTCGCATATTTGAAGATATAAATATATAAATATATGAATATATACATTATATATACATATACATATAAACATGAAGCTTGTGCCAATTGAAAAGAGCGGAATCTTTTTACGCTCCGTTCTCTTTTTTTTGCTTTTTTCTTACTCTCTCGTTTGCAAGTCGACAAACGTTGCGTTGTCTCGTGGCATAGAGGCAGGCGCCCTATCAGGTCCATGCCGTAAATGGTGGTTTGCTGAATCCTAAACATTCGTTTGGCGCTATTGTGTGAACGGTGCCCGAGCGAATTATACTTAGGCTAATTTTTCCTCAACAAGTGGTGTTACTCTGGGAACAGTTTCGTAATCATCCGAGTCCCCGCCACAACACTGAATAAAAAATGACTTGACCCGGCATGCATGGTTCCAAAAATACAACGGCTTTTCTTTATCTCTGTAAATTTCCGTCTTTCGCCGGACTTGCGTGTATCCAATGAGTCAGCTGCAAGGCTCGTGCTAGCAGTAATTAAGAAAGCTTACAATTATAGTTTGAACGGCGCATGTGCCATTTCAGTCGACTGTGCGCAAACTCTTGAACGGACGGCTCGTAAGCTTAGAACATCTACGCAGCCGTTCAATTCTAATGGGCTTTGATTGTTCGTTCCAAGTGAGCAGAAACGTTTGCATAAGAACCGTCGGGTCTACTCTAGTCGTGGTCGATCAGTTTCTATTGATCGGAATTGGCATCCGTAATAAAAAAAAGACCTTTGGTCTTCTTACCATGATTTCAAGTATACTGAGATGGAAACTGGATACAATGTATGGCGTCAGCCGTATACCCACGAGCGAAGGATGGCGCCGATGACGCAAGGCAGCCTCTGCCTCACTGCCCGAGCAAGTCGCAACTCACATTTTGTAAATGTCAGTGTACAAGTTGCCCGTATACCCTTGAGTTCATCTCTTGTTTCAAGTGTCATACAGCGAGTGCATACCAAAGAAGGCTTAGTCTGTCGTCCACATACATCCTCGACGAATACGGCCGCCCCCATGTACATACATACTGCCAAATGAACGTCGCATCGCAATGTGTTTGCGACGAGCTTTGTTTCATCAGTATTGTTTTATTGTCAGTTAACTCTTAGTCGTTCTCTTTTATTTTTCTTCGTTTCTTTCCATTTCGTGTTTGACGCACACCACGTCGAAGGGACGTGCATGCTGTATTGTTCTCACGCAGTCTCGTTCATCGCGCGCGTCCGCGTCGTGTGTTACATCATGCCAGTGCTTTCACAAATTGAATTGCACCATCGGAGGCGACTCGACCTGAAACTGTCCCCCAGAAAGGTGTTGGCTCATGGTCGAGTATTATAATCGTCAACTTCATTTTGTTCATATGAGTCCATTCTCGTGTCGTGTCTTGATTCATCGCCGCATTTTCATCTTCCCGTTTAAAACGCAACTAAGCGTATAGGACGAAGCCGAGTAAAAAATAAAAGGAAGCGGCGAGTCAGTGTTGAAGTATATGTCTGAGGAAGGCTTTCGAACCACAGGCAGCCTCCGCAGGAGGGGTCCAGCTCTGGAAAACACGCTTTCGCACAAAGCACAGGCTTTGATATTCGTGCTTGATCTTCTTCTTCCTGACCTCTGCACATGGCACACACCCACTGGAGGGGTCAGTTGCGCTGTAAAAGTCAAAGCTACTTCTTCTTCGCTCTCTGTCGGATACTTTTGCTCCATTTAATTTATTTCACGTGCCATACTATGGTGAAGGCGTGGACCTTTGTGCAATACATCTATGCCATTAACATGCATCTGTGTCGAGGTATACATGATCCACCATAGCTTCTACCTCGACGTATTTTAAGTGTAAAGAACAGGGTGGCATCGCGGTTCTCACAGAAACGCAAGGATTCTGCTGTCTCCTTGTAAGTTCGCATCCTTAACGCGGCCTTTGGGGGTCTCACTTTATCGAGCGTGTTTCTAGTCCGCTTTAATTCTTTTTTATTCACTACTTTCTGCGGGTATGTAATTCCGTGCCCTGGAAGTTAGGCGCCTGCCGGAGCCTGCGTAAATCGAAAAAGCATTCTTTCGCTGACTAAATCACTTCCTGTGGATCCCGAGCTATACACTTGCGTGCTATAGTAATGGAGTGTCGTGGTTACTACTTGTGTTAAGTCTTTAGGTTGCCTCTGCCCTTGGAATGGTACTTGAGGGGGGATTCAGCGCACCTACCCTTGATACTTAGAAAGGTATGCTGGCGAAATAACATCCTATGCCGCATTTTGTAGTATGCAGAAAGCCGCTGGCACTAGTCACTGCAAATAGAAAAGGGGTGCATGCATACAAAATCTTCTTTCTATATTGGACAATTCGCAGGTCGATCATATCATCCTCGCCATTTTCGCGTGTTATTATTCATATCGGTAACTCCCTGTTGACTTTTCCTGTCTTTGACTAGTGTTAATGTTTTTTTTTAATCTGTTCCACGACTAATCAGATTTTCGTAGCACCGGGCGCACACATTTGTGGCCTGATTGATGAGTGTAACTAGTCGCTCTGTATTATAGGTGATTATCGTTTCTTTGTTTCTAAGCACTTTTTTCAGATCATGGTTTAAAAAGTCTGTTGACAGAGTAGCGTACTACGAAATTTGCAAAGAAAACACCGTAGTCAAGGCGACGCTCCACATTAGCCACACTTTAAGGTAAAGATTGCGTGTCACTCTTATTTTGGCTAGTCCCAGCTTGCCACGCATGTAACTTTTTTTTTAAGTTGCACTTTAACTCCCTTTTGAAGAGTCGCGCGACACTTCAAAATGGAGTGAATGCGTGCCTTTAAGGGAGTGATGTATGAGGCGAGTCAGGTTTCACCAGAAAGAGTTGCAGGTTAACTTCCTTTTCTTTTTTTTTTCTTTGAATGCTATGGCATCGTCCGGTTTGATTCAGTTTACTGATAAACTTGAAAAACAGCATATAGAACTCTTTGTTGCTATAGCTTTTTTCTTTCTTTCTTTTCTCGCAGAATGCCGTATAAGAGGTACGATCAAGTGTTTGCGAATTTACTCGAACATCTTCAATCCCTATGTCCTCTATTTTTACCTGGCTCTATTGTCCTTTCGGTGTTCGCACTTCTCTCACTGTAATTAACGGATGTGCGTTCGGATCATCTATGCCACTCCCATTCATTTTTTCACCCATCGAGTTTATTCAAAGTGCAGTATTACATGAACATGAGTCCTTGTGGTATCCACCGACAAAATGTGCCAAAACATGCCAAATTGTACACTGCTTCGATGCCAAAAGTGGATTACACTGTGATGTTTTCTTTTGCGTTGTTGCCAAAGCCTTGTACACAGCCAAACTTCTCTTTTAGTCATCCAGCGAGTGTTGTTGGATTCTTGTAAGGTCTAATCTAACGACGTGGTAACAGTGATAAAGATAAACTATGAAGTGTGCCAAAATGTAAAATATCAAAACACTTTTGCTACAGTTAGTAGGTGACCAAAGAAAAACTAGCTCTTGCTCTAATGTTTGTCCTAACATTTGATTCGCTGGCAAGAGGTACGTTCGACTGCTTTATTGCAAGCTTTTGTTTATAGCACAGTTCGGCGAACGCCGGGTGCTCCTGAAGAACTAATGCATATGCTGTCCATAAGGAGCAATTATCCTATGCCGTCTGGCTGCCTCACCATCTCTCATGTCGCGGCTTTGTGATCGTAAACTTCGAAGCATCACGTTGCCTACTCAAGTGGCTGTTAGCCTTCATTCTAACTGTAGCGTCGTTACGTGGGCTCTCTGTCATAGCTTAAGCGTGCGAACCGACAAAGTCAGCCTAACTACGTTTTACATGTCTTCAAACAAATGTTTAGATGTTTTGTCGAATTCGAAGGCAGCTTTTCACGACTGCGTAACTTTGCTGCAAGCAGTTATTCCTCGTGAGAGGTTGCGGTTCTATCGCTTTGAACGTTTAGGATTCTCAAGTGTATTACCGGCTCGTAGGCTTTTTTTTATTATTATTAATATAGTGAGCCCGCAGCTGTCTCCATCGGAACTTTGAACTCTTAATCCACTGGCTGTATACATCACCTGCGGTGTTTTGCCCGTGTTTTTCGGGTCTTGTTCAGATGTACTCAAACTGAAACTTGCCTTTGTTTCGCGAAATACAAATTTGAAAAGAGTTTATTGGTCGACTTACACAGTAATGCGATTTTGGCTGTCAGCTTTGTAAACACGTGTAAAACGCCGATCCACATTTTTCCATAAGATATTACAGCATTGAACATACGGCGGTGTTTTGCATGACCAGACCGGACAGGCGCATGGCTGTTGTCCAGCCCGGCCATGTTTTTAACGTGCAACCAATTTAGAAAATTTTTTGCCGGACGTGCGTAGAACTTTGTGAATTTCGAAACTGAACATTGTTCAGTGCTGACGCTGTGATTAGCATTTGCGGAACGAGAACCTTCAGAGAACGAGGACAACTTGGCCGAGAACAAGCACACGTACGTCCTTAACCTCGGTTTCTCCACGACACCGAGCTTTATTGATGACATTGTCATAATTGCTGTAACTTTTGTTGGTTTCATTTGCGTATCAGGGTAATCGATATGCGGTGTCGTCCTTATTAAACTACGGGAATTGTAACAAAAAAAAAAGAAGACACGCACACGATGAAAAGAGCATTGCCTGAAGTTTTATTACTGTGTTTCTGGATCACCCTCCCGTGCATGAAGTAATGTGCACTGGGCTTTTAGCTTGTTGTTTCATTATTTTGTGTCGTATGTGTAAGATTTATATTTTGTATAAAGCTTTTTGTTAACAACTGAACTCGTACTGTGTGAACTGTTCCTTTCCGCTGGCTATCAGCGCCAGTGTGTTCTTCATATGCGCGATCAGCACCAGTGTGTTCTTCATATGCGCGATGGCGATGCCAGTGGTGAAGTGGCAGCCAGCCCGTTTCAGTGCAGCCCCAGCGGCATAAACTGGCGCACGTGCCATAAGGTGCAGCGTGACATGCTCCGACCTTTTGAGGTAGTTGTTATGGGCATCCTTTATGTATGTCTGCCATTGTACCTCAAGGAGCAGGAGCTTTTGAGGCCTTGCGGTTAAAACTTAAGGTTGCTGTGCTGGGCGTTTCATCTAAAATCAAGCACGTCTTCAGTGTGCTATGCAGCAGGATAGTGGCGGTGAGCAGCATCATCAGAAAAACCCGGGTGACATTGCCGTCAGGATTGAACTTTATTTCAGGCAATAACGGTACCTTGCGGATTGGCAAAACTGCAAGAGGAGGAGGACAAGAAAAACAAGGGAGAAGACAGGGAGGTTAAGCAGGCACATTCCCGGTTTGCTACCCTACGCTGGGGAAATGGGTAGAGGCCGACAAATTAAGGTGCCTGCCACCTCAGAACCAGGAATACCGCAGTGATGAGAAACAGAGGCATAGATATGTAAATAGGTACCGTAAAATGCCGAGCGAGCACCTCCGCCTGACGGCGAAGGATACTCCTACAAGATTTGGGGGAGGGTGCTTGCTCAGGCCAGCACCGGTCATTGGCACTTACTTGGTGCTTATTTCAGATCTCCCAAAAAACAGGAAACGGTGCTTGCTCGGTATTTTATGGTAAGCGTAAATGAGAGTAATTACGTGTGAGTTACAAGTCTATTAGAAAAACTAGATGACAGACCCAGGTAATGACATCAGAAGTAATATATGTGTTTAACAGCTGGCACACATTTCTCTGAACATGAACAAACGTGAATGTAATTTACATGACTAACTGTTGACGCAACGTCTCAAGAACATCAAATGACTTGGAGAATATGAAAAAACGACGATTATGATGAAGTGTGGGGCAAAGTTTCAAGAAAACCGACAACATATACTACTTCAAAGAGTACAAGACAATAATAATGATAGTGTAAGAGTATCTTTTATGGTGATAGCGTTGCATTTGTTTCATCCCAGCTGCGGCGGGAGTGTTCCGGGGTGTACGAAATATAAAACCTCCCGTGTTTAATGGTCCCGGCTGACTGACCTAGCCAGTTGAAAATGGATCAAATTCCTTTCACCATACCGTGGAATGGAGCCACCAGAACATTTTTTTTCTTGGGAAGGCTTAAGCCACAACTGAGGAATTCTTACAGTTAAAATAGCAGTAATACAACAAATGTGACAAAGAACATCTTCACCATGAATACCAACGAGGAAACTGCGACTAATGAACGTGTTCATGATGGGTCCATTATTTCACGTGCAAGGAAACAGAACAGACGGAAGAGGAATAATAGTAGACAGATGTAGTTGTGCGTCCGCAGCAGCCGTACGAACGCGACCTGCCTTTGCAAGTGGCTAGCGGACTGCGTCCGTATGGCTGCTGCGGACGTTTCACTGAATCTTTCTACTGTCTACAGTTCTACGTCCTAAAATTACGATATGATGATGCGAGGAGGCCATTATTGGGCCCGCCTGCCTGTGACCACAGGGTCTTGGAGTATCCTTCGACCTCGGCACTTTTCCCATGTGTCGCCCGCCACAGACACATTGGTTGCCGATAGTTCCTTCCCGTTGACGACCTGCATTAGTCACGGACCTTTTAGCTTCTCGACCTTCGCACTTTTGTATACACGCTCTCATTGTTTTCATTTCGGTTTCATTTCTGTGGGGGGCAGTAATCCGTAGCGTCATCATCATCGCCATTCATCATCATTTCATAGCCACAGCGCCGCGCCTCTCGCGCAGCTCATGCATAGCTCGAGCTGCGCGAGAAGAGAACAAGTTCACGAGCCTAAATTGACGGACGGATAGGTGGTGTTACGAAAGCGCGACGCCAACACGGCACCGAAGGCACCACTGCTCCGAACTCTGCCGCCAAGGTCACCAGCCATTGGGTAGCGTGTGTTACTCAGCTCGCCACTGCTTCTGAGCAGAGCTGATAGAGGAGCGGACGATGATGATGAAAATATTTATTATAAAAGAGAGAAGAGAGAGGTACGGGGCCAAAGCATGACCCTGCTACATGGTCGGCGTCCTTAGTCCGGGACACCGCATGACGAGGCCCCTACTCGCGCCCGTCTCACTAGAGCCCGTTGAGACTCTAGTGATGAGCAGTTGAGGAGCGGACGAGGCGACGGTGGCTTAAGGCAAGGTTTATGTAAAGCACAGAAATAGAGGCGTTACAAATTCGGCACTGGGGCCGACAGTTTAGGGGCTCGAAGAGCCGAGATGTCTCCTCTCGCACGCATACGCCGGCTTCTCTTTGACGCATACATCAACTGCTGGCGACGCGCCGCTTGGCTTTTTTAGGGGCGAAGCTCCTTATGGCGTGGCTTGTGCGTCCCTCGTAGTACGTAACCACCAGTGGCGCATACCCGAAATAGGTATAAAATTTGACCTCCAAGGTGGTGCCGGTGAGAGATTTCTTTTGTGCGTTGTTCAACAATAAAAAATAGTGCTCAATGTACATGCCAATGGCTGCTAATGGGGAATGAGAGACAGGAGCATTCTGCTTCTAGTCAACGCGCACGCTGCGATCCCCATTAGCAGCCATTGGCATGCGGGCAAGAAAGGGTTGCTACATTATACTCGCTGGGTGTAACCTCCTTAGTTTGAAAGGATTAGCGAGCGTTGAGCCGCAGGGCCATGAATACAGTGAACTTGTATATACCATGAATGAACTCGAGGTGGTTAAAGGGGCGAAGCAGATACGAAGCGCAAGTCGTAAGAAAGTGTGCGTGTGCCACCTCTCGTTTAGTCCTTTGAATGTCCTCTGGATGGCGGTGCTTCTATATGCGGAATACATTATGAAAAGATGCGAGATGGTGGTACTTGGAATGTTGGCGAGATGGATGAACGGACACACAGACATGGATGGACGCATGAACGGACGCAGGGGCGGATGCATGAACGAACGCAGGGACGGGCGCACGAACAGACGCATGGACGGTCACACAGACGGACGCATGGACGGACGAATGCTTCGCCCCACTCTCCATCATTCACTCCGTGGATATGCTGCCATTTTTTTTTATATATAGGCACCGGGAGGACCTTTTTTGTCACCAACGTCCAACCAGAAGTGCCGCTGGCCGTGATGTCAGAATCCTCCAATGGGGACCCGCCACTGGGCCGCGTCATGATCATCGAATCCGGAGTCGCTGCGCTTGGTTGCACCCAAGAACGAGTGGTGTTGCCACGCATTGCGTAAGACTCGCCAGACTGGAAGGCGCCGATTGCTTCCACGGGCTCGTGGGTGGAGGGAGCTCGCTGTGCGTTGCGTAAGACAGACCGGCGCCGCCGCGTGATGGCGTCGTTGAGTTGATCGTGTCAGGTGGGCTCGATCGCTGGCCCTGACAGATTGCCTTTGCAAAGGCATTGACTTCCGGTGTGGACTCCCAGGCGTAACAGTGGGTAGCAATATGCGCGTCGTACGTTACGGTACTTTCGGTTCGAGGCATGCTCTTCGATTTTGGCATGCTTACGCGCGTTCGTACATTGACATATGCACGTGTACGTGTATACGCATTTTGGCATGCGCATGAGCATACGGATTTTGGCACGCGCATGAGCACGCACACTTTGGCGTGCGCACGCGTACGCATTTGGCCATGCATTCGTACAGACGCATTTTTGCGCACGCGCCTACGCATTTTGGCATGCGCATGCGCTAACGTTTTTTCTCATGTGCACGCGCATACGCATTCAGGAACACGCACGTGCGTACGCATTTTGCATTTCGACATGTGCGTGCGCATACACATTTTGGCATGCGCACACGCATACGCACTTTGGCATGCGCATACGCATTTCGGAATGCGCACACGCATACGGGTTTTGGCAGGCGCACGCCCATACGCGTTTTGGCAGGCGCACGCCCATACGCGTTTTGGCATGCGCACGTGCATACGCGTTCTGGCATGCGCACTCGCATACGCAATTTGGCATGCACACTCACATATGTATTCTTGCATGCGCACGCGCATTGTACATGAACGTGAGGCCCGACGGTGGCGATGAGCCCGTGCTGAGGTCACAGATTTTATTCGAGACGCAGGCGTAGGCTGAGCCGCCGCTACAGCGTCCAGCCAGGCCAGGAGCTAGATCGGCAACAAGCGCGTTTATTGTGGGGTGTGCCGCCGAGACAGCTGAACCCACTCGTTTTAGCGGTTTAGCGCAAACTAGGAATGCACCGCTGAAGCTGCTAGAAAACTGATAACGGGCCGAACATTATCTGGATGCGCTGGGATAGCGATTTTGAAGGCGTTGCGGGGAGGGTGTCAGCGCCTGTATATTTTTACAGCGTGGCTTTGAAGCATGCGCACGCGCATATGCAATAGGATGGAAAGGTGGGCTAGTTGATAATTCATGATGGTTCAGCGAACTGCGAGCGCTGGGGTAAACACAGACACGTAGCAAAGAATAGGCACACAGCACCCTCACGCGCATATGCCCCGAGGCATAGGGGACACTGGTTCGCACTACACCATCGCGAAGGCTTGCCTCTGTTCGAGTTACATTCGCCGATTATATTACTTATTGAAAACAAAAAAAACAAGGCAGGAAGTGCGCAAGACACCATGCTAACAATTGCCTAAACGCCCATGTGCCGTAAAACCATAGAGATAAACATTTGGGGACCCTTAAGGGTCACCTATAAGAGTCGAACACGATCGCAATATACGGTTCTTGTGCGCACTTCAGTCATTCAGTGCGCACTTTTCATTGTATGACTTATGATGTTATTCAAGAAGTTCAAGAAGATGGGACCACTCCATCCTGTCCCAGCTTGGTCAGCAGCCGGACAGTGTGCACGTTTTGTAACACCCACGCA